TCTGGCACTGGGTTAAGAAAGATCTTGATAGACTGGTTCTTGGGAAACACAGAATTTAACTTGGTACCATCAACAAAATAATATATAATAAACACCAGCTGCAACTGTCAAGAATCACTACGTTAAATATGCTGTACAGAGTTAGTTTTTGCAATACTGAACATACAAGCTCAAACAAAACCCAGCAGCCAAAAAAAAATCCTAGGAGCAATGGATCCTACGGACATAAGCAGATACTCAGTCCTGCACTGCACTGTACAGAAATGCAAGATTGCAGCTCTGTAACATAATGATGGGGATATTGCTTTATAGCCTAAGAAGCAGCACTACTCCCTTCACTCCGTTTGACCTGAACAGGCTGCCAACTAACTCTATTAACATACCGTGAGCAGAATCCTGTTTTCCTAAGAAGAGGGAATCAAACAAGAGATGTTTCCTTTGTTCACAGTTTTAAGAGCTTTCCAAGCAACTATACATAAAAAGCTCCATCTTTTATAGCTTTTTCACAAGGCTGTGTGCCTGAAGTTTGTTACTCTGTTTTCTCGATCGTTCCTTTTTTAGTGTATTTCTCACTTTCTCTTCACACACACTTCCAGCACTCCAATCCAAGTCCTGAATTTAACAGATCAAAGAGCCACCCTTTGGCTGTATAGCTAGTTACTAGTTCAGCCTCTCATGAGATGTTTTCCCAGGTCCCTAATCCTTCAGTCTCCTATTAAGAAATTACTTCTACTGCTATTTACTGGGTTTATTTATACACATGAAAAGCCACTGTTACCACATCAATTTCAATAAAATTCTTCCTTCAACAGAATTTAGATTTGCTTCAGCAGACCAATAAGCTATTATGTTGCTAAAAATTTACTAAAGAGCAGAATATTCAAGAACATTTGTACACCGGTTATGGAGAGAAGGAAGGGGGACCATTCAGATTTCTTTGCGCACCTTGAATGGCTTGGTGATCATGCAATGTTCAAATCACCAAACAGAAGATTGGATTCAGACCTTTAACCTGACAACCTGCTCCAATCGCCCCTGCTTTGAGCAGGGGGTTGGACTGATGACCTCCAGAGGCACCTACCAACCCCAGCTGTTCTACAGCACAGCACTGCACAAAACTCATACCATGAAGTAATAAGCTGTACCTGGCCCAAAGTGGTGGGTCCACTACATTCTTACAGTCTGGTTTATCAGCTACATCAGAGTATATTCCTTCCTCTTAGTTTCTCCTCTTATTAAGAACAATAGGAATTGCAAGAATTTTATTTTAGTCCTAAATTTTCACCTTTTGTTGAGATTCAAAATTATTTCTCAAGTTACGTCAGCACTCTTTTCTTTCTTGGATTTCTTGATCATTGCACCTCTAAGTTTCCTGCATGTTAACTTGCAGCGCAGCAGATCACACTGAGCAAACCAAGCACTCATGAACTATGTACTCTGACTCTCCTCCCAGATATCTGTAGTCCTTCCCAATTCTTGCATTGGCTCAAGACCTACAATTCTTTCAACAATTTTTCTAAGATGCATGAAAATATAGTAGCCTGGTTTTACCCTCTTTTATTTGACTGCCAAAACAGAAAGATGGTTAAGTGTGAAACTATCCAGAAAGTACCAGTAACAAACACATCAAATTTTCATCCCACTCCTACATACTCTTTCCTTAATGAGCCAGCTAGGCAGAATCAAGCTGTGTCTCATATGGCCTTCAATCTTACAGTGGTTTATACCTGATCTTCGTGAATATTCATTATGTTTTCAAAGCCATTTGGTATATTTAAAAATAAAGCATAAAAATTTCATCACAATTTAAGACATACCTGGAACATAACCAGATACATCTTTTCCACAATGACTAAAAAATATTCTCATCAATAAAAGACTTAAAAAGCCTGCCAGCTTTAGCTTCTCAAGCCCATCAATATAAAAGAATTTTCAAGAAGACCAAATCGCAGAGGTAAGTTAAAATATATTTTGCTGTTACTACATGTGAACCACTATGAGAATCAACAAAGATGTATACATTGTATAACTTCAGTCACATGTATGCTGAAAAAGTACCTTCTCATCTTGCCCCAGAAAATGAGAGAAATCAAACGATCTAGTAAAAATGAAACCTATTAAGCTGAGTTAAACTCAGCAGGACGAATTTTCATTATAGTTTCAGCCCTACAGTTCCCCTGAAGTCAAATGGAAATGCATTCGTTCAGCTTAGCAGAACTTGGCACAGCAAGCAGTTTCGTACTGTTCATTCCAAGCACCAGCTCATGAAATGTTGCATCTCTAACTTCCATATGGCTACATCTTAAGTAAGATTACGCAGTTCTTTTACATCTTAGCATTTTATTCTAAGTATTTAATTCATAGCACATCATGAGTCAGGCTGTATTCTCTGTGTCTTTTTTTGGGTTTTGTTTTCCAATCTATCTTTACGTTCTCGTCTCAGCAACATACAACATAGGATGGGATCTAACGCTGCCCTTCCATGAGAGGCTTTCCACTGTTTTCAACAGATTTTGGATCGATCTCTTGTTGTCAAGTTTATGAAACAGGAAGTTTTATAAATTTGCAATACACAATTAATTGGCACTTCCGCTTGGCTTTTGTCAAGGAGCTGAGGTTATTTTCAGATATGTTAGGATACAGAGGCAAATGTAATATTTAAATCAATAGAAGACAGACATATAAATAAAGAACTAAAATGAAGTCACTCTGGCGCACCTTACTCTAAAGAGTAGTAACGCTTTTGCAGAAACCCAGAGTTTTGCACAGGGTCCTGTACTAAAAAAAGGTATGGCTAGGCACACAGAAACAGGAATAGCACACAGCATGACCTAAGCACCTACATGAATTTGCACCGAACTGTCCAGGAGTCTGAGAACAGGCTTCCCCACTGAAGCACTGGCACACAGAAAACAAGGACTGCAAAACACCAGGTGTAGTTATAGGCACATATGATACAGAGATTATTTACAAGGTAAGCAAGCAGCCAGGAGGAGTCATGCAACATTTTCCCAGCATAGAGGAAAAATAATTACATGCAGTCTTTCGAGCAAGAGATTGATTAAACACAACAGGAAATTAGAAATGTGCCTCTCTCAAAAATCTGACACAGTAAGAACTGCCGTAAGAGACACAACCATCTCTTCCCTTGTGGCTACTATGGTGATTCTCCTGTCAATTCTAGAAATGGAGGGATAACCAGACTGCCTATCCAGTGATTCATATTCCCAGCATATGGTAACATTCTTTCACTCAGTACTGATCTCATCATATAACCTTAGCTGTCTTCAACTAGAGGGCACGGCAAGTAATTCATTGACTTAATTTAGCCTTATGTAAAGCAGAGGGATTATATGAAAGCAAATTAAAAATGAGCATAAAAAGCAGGAAAATATGTTTGCTACTTTGCTTGTTCACTTTACTGGCTTAGCCATAGGGATATGTTGATTCTTCTTTTGTATTGGGATTTATTTTCTCTAAAAAGTACTTTACAAGGTTCACTTGAAAAAGCTCAACAGAAGGAGATTTCAAAAATATGTTAATTGAATGTTGACAGGAATCTCTGTGGACGCCCACAAAAGCAAGATACTCAGGAAATGTCTGTTAAGATCTCCAAATTTGTGCAGGAAGACTAATTTTAATTATGTATTTCTGGATTTATTTTTATGAATCAATGCCGCATCAATCTTCTATGGCCTTTTATTCCAAACTGTTATGTATGGAGCCATGCCAGAAAGGAACTCACAGAGCTGGCAAGCTGCTGCATGAGCCTGAGTTAATGCACGTAAAAATACTGCTTACTGCTTTCTTAGTTTTTAGGAAAGGATTATGAAGACAAATTATAGTCACCTCTGTGTGGCTTTTTTTTTTTTTTTTTTTTTTTTTACTTGATCCTACCAGTTATGTAAAAGCTCAGTTTCATGCAGCATCCCTTCTTTTGTAGAAGGGACTTCATTAGAGGTGTTTCAGAACAAAAACTACCCTATCCCCCTTATTGTAAAAGTGTAGTAGGGGATAGTTGCATTATCTTCAAACAAGCCAGATGGGCTACTGCTAGCAATGACAGCACAGGACAAACCCAAAGCAGATAAATGTACCACAATTCTCCACCTATGTGTACCCAAAATTTGAGTAGGAGATTAAAGTCAACTGTATGCACCAGCTGGAACAATTCTTCAGCCAACCTCCACCTGATCTTCTCAGATACCACATGCATTGCCAATAGAGATGCTGCACAATGCACAATGAAGCAGAAAATAATTTCCACTGTGATCAATACTGCACTGCAAATTAAAGACCTTTTTTCCATAGGCTCTATATAGAAAACATTAAATATGCTTACTTTGCAAGCATATACTTTTTTCCATGAAAGTATTGATAGACTCTTACTTACCAAACCAGCGATAGTTCTGTAATAAAAAGGGTGTGTCTATCTCTTTCTTTGTACAGCAGTTATAATAAACTCTGTTACCTTACTATCATATCATAAATACAGGCTCAATCTTATCAGGTGTTCTGTAATCTCAACTTCTAATATCACTAGCAGTTAAAGTGGTTTACATGCAAAGAGAAGGGGTTCCTATTCCGATCTTGTTAGGGGAAGCACATATATAACACAAGCATAAATTTTAAAAACATACTCTAGTAAGAATAATGGAGTAAGATGCAAAGTAAAAGATTTACAAATCCATTGCAGATTGCAAATACAGTTCATTTGATACAGATGCTGGCTGCAAGTGAAAAAAAAAAATAAATAAAAATCACACAGCCCTAACAAATACTATCTTGGCTAAAAAGAAACTGAAAATCACAATCACAGGGAGGTTTGCCTAAGGAAAGGCTGCATGTTTGGGACCAAACAGTAAGTTGGCAGAAGGAAAGAATACTTGCTGAAATAACAAAATGGTTTTTGTCAAAGCTCCGGAATCTGTAACATCACGGCTTGACAGCAAAAGCTCTGTAGGCCTCTATCAAAGCCAAAAGTAATTAAGTGTACTTACATGTACTCCCTGTGTGCAGAATGCACAGCAGCTGCATTGCTGTAACGCCACAAAACTATCGCTGATGACAAAACATCCAGGGTAGCATCAAACTGAAAGAGATACAGAGTCAATTGTTTTGTGGGCCATTAAACGTGCCCTGTACTAGCAGTAATGCATTTACTATCCTGCTGCACAGGCACAAAGCAGCTTCAAATAAATTATTTTAATGAAAGCAGGATTTACATTTATTAAATTGATCTTCACATTTTTGCCATGTGTTATTGCACAATGATACACTTCAGAGCTCAGGAAGTCAATCAAAGGAGTAAAAACGTTTTTATTTGTAATCCCTCACCTGCAGAGAAGTTAAGGAAAAAAAACCAACCACAATCTGCCACTGTGGCACCTCAAGAGTTAAAATACTAATATGATTCTTATGCAAAGACTCTAAAGGAAAAAAACACATTTGAAAATGCCGGTCAAAGTCACTAATTTTCTGCAGTATAAGGTTTTGTTTCAAATCAAGCAAATATTAACTTTTTTTACAAAATCCTATTGTATCCAGATTTCATATTATTCTGCATCATCAGTAAAATTGCCATGTTTGTAGTTCCAGTTAACGAAGACATGAGGTCAGGTACCACCAAAAACCAGGCTTGTCCCACTGTAAGAACTTCCATCCTTTAAGTCAAATGTTTTATGGAGTCAATCTAACCTTCAAATTTGAAAGCAAAAGCCAAATTATTTGAAATTAGTCATTTTGCTTGCTGTTAGGAATTTTTTGCTCTGCCACTACTCAGGAAAGTCATGGCAGCTACTGGAGAGGAAAGCTGTCATCCCAAAGTCAACAGGAATTTTACCATAGACTTCAACCAGAAAATGGTCACGCAAAGTTCAGAAGTGAACTTCTGAATTTGGCTCAAGTTCAACAACAGAAATGATTAAGCTGAGAGATTTTGTAGAAGAAAACCATATCTGGTGGATAACATCTATCAATAATGGGATATAAGTATTGATATTAACTTCAATACAAGACTTAGTAGTTGGAAACTGAAAAATTATAATGAAAGTAACTTTACTATCGTTTCCAAGGTATGACTTCAAAAATATTTTTTCTAATCCATCATTGACTTTGCACCCCTTGCCACGAGCTCAGAGTAAGACAAAATACAGTATTTCATGTTCAGAAAAAGCCCATAAAAAAATGGTAGAGAATATTTAAATCGTATCTCTACTTACAGCAAATCCAAATGATGATGCACTGTATCTCATTACGGAGACAGCTAAAGGAAAGAAAATATTATTTAGAATCACTTTAAATCTTTTTTGTATCCTTTCTTCTCCTCTTGTCTGAGAGCTCCAAAACTAGTTTCAACACATGGGCTTAGTTTTGCCCAGTTCCCACTAGAACGACATGACCAACATTTTAAAAAGATCTACAAGAAAGGCCTTGTGCGGCAGGAAACAGGTCGCCTGAGAGATGCTTTTCTTTCATCCAAAACTGTAATAGGGCAGACCTTAGCATAGCATTCAGAAACAGTCTGTTTATGAAACATGCTGCATTTCGGATGTAGTTTTGAGTAAAAATAAGTTGAAACCACTATTTCAAACTCTCAGAAAACTTTACATGTCTCAAAGTGCTCCTTGCTCCAGCTAGGCACAAAAGTCCACCTGAACTGGCTGACAGAAAAATATGCAGGCCCATCCAGACTCCTTCACTGACATCTTCCTGACAAAAAGCCTAAGGGTAATTCACACAGTCCCATTAAATGCTTCAAATTCCATCAGATCAGTTATTTCCAATGGAAAAAGCATTAGCAGGAAAAATTTTGACCAGTTCCCATTTTGACTGCATCTAAAAAATAAACGAGAGTATAAAAATGTGCTAACATCTAGAAAAATTTTATAGTTTTCCTCCATGCATCCTAATTCTATCATCTCACAGTTCCCAATTCTAGGAGGTACTGTGCAAGGAAAAACACCTTTCAGTAGCCCAGCGGAATACCAGGGAAGAAGCAGGCAGCAACGGAAGAGGCCACCACCTGGAGATGGGACTTCATCAAACTGCAGCTCTCACAAGGCCAGCAGCAACACTACAGCTATGTCAAGCTCTGGAGCACTGAGCAGCTCTAGCCTTCTTGCTGTGTTTTGTAGACTGCCAAGTGAGAGCAGGACTAACCAAACCTGAATAAAATGCACAGCACTCTAGTTGCAATATTAAGAGGGCTTGGAATAAAGCCTAAAAGGATTAATTTTACTATTCTTTTATGAACAGATATCAGCTGACTTACTAAGAAAAATATATTTCTGTAAAAATGAATATACTTCAACTAAAAAAAAAACCAGACTCGTCAATGACTTTGTCAATCTTAGGCTGACAAACACTATTTTTCAGTATTCCAGTATTCATTAGAACAGCTTGGCAGAACAAAGCCGCTATGGTTTGACTGTTCTTTTCAGTAACAGCAAGCGGCAGTTCTGTGGCACTTATCTGGATAAAAAGAAATAAAAATCTTGGAAAAAATTACCATTTTCTTATTGATCCAAGACCTAGCTGTGGCCACGAGCATAAAACATATCACAACTATTTGGACTTTATCACCACAGTTGGCCAAAACACAAAGAAAAGTCATCAAGTTCATTTCCAGATTTCCATCTTCTCTAAGTTGAAGAGTATGGAAATAGTATGGACTTACATCTCCCTCCCGTTGTTAAATCATGATTTCCCACGCTTCATCTCCTAAGTGAAAAAAGAGGCTGTATTTCTTGGTCAGACTTGCCAGGCAAGAGCTACACTTGAGAAGCTGACACTAGCTTGCAATGATCCAGCTGCAAATTTGAACATTTCACTGCATAATAACAAATTACCTATCAAATGCCTCTAAGGAGGCATACAGTTTCAAAATACACCAGAAGTTGCATTAAAAAAAAAAAAAATGGGCATTCACAGGTACACATAAGCTTGCAATGTTCCTGTCATTACTGCTTTCATATGATGCAGTTCAAAGCCACACTTTTACTCCTACTTCTATTTCTAGCCTGCCCCTGTAGTGGAATTAGCCTCTCAGCTTTTACTAAATTGCCAGCTTTTTTCCCCACTCAAATCCAGACTTAAAAAAAAATTTAACACTATGGTTGCCTTAAAAATGACTATAGAATTTCTACAGGTGAAGTGCACACAGATAGCCACACCTGAAGAAAACTTTAGGTGGCATATTTGGTGCATTTAAAGCATAAAGTCTTCAGCATGAGAACTGTCCTTATTTTCATGTATTCTACCACAGTGAATATCCACAGCACTAACACACAATCTGTGTGGCCTGAGCTATCCAAACCAGTAATTAAACCCAAGTATTAACTAACAGTGTCACAAGTCTGCTTGAGCCTTTTTGCTAGCTAGTGAATACAGATAGCGGAGGAAAGTCTTTCCAAGGATTGGTACCCTACAATACTTAACTCGCAGTGGTAAAAGGCCATAATAAACATAGTAATGACCATTTAAGCACTGGAAAGATATGTTTTTATATTATTCATTTACATACTGGCTTTCTAATGGGAATAAGACACCCATTTGTCTGTCTTTGAGGGTCAAATAACAATATTAAAAGCACTTCAGCTGTGACTTAAGCACATCAATACTTCTAGCTGAGAGTACAGTCAGAAAGCTCACCAGTAAACCACCCCAGCTCAAATGCGACGTTTGTCCATGAGTCTAGGCTCTATGGCAGAGAAAGCAGCTGTAATATTGGCATACAGGGTACCCACCAACACACGTTTCCACAGGCTGACTACATCCTCTAAAGACAGCGACTGGCTCCTGTTTTAGGCACTGAAGCTGAAAGGACTTTCAGGGAAGTACTTCTTAGCATCCAAGCACTGGGCAAAGGAATAAGCAGTGGTCCTTATGCCTCCAGCATCACTACCATGCTCCAGGAGCAACGTACAGCACTGCAGGAATGGATCTGCAGGATGGGGTTGTTCAGCCTGGAGAAGAGAAGGCTGCAGGGAGACCTTATCATGGCCTTTCAGTACTTAAAGGGAGCCTATAGGAAAGATGAGGACAATCTTTTTAGCAGGGCCTGCTGTGACAGGACAAGGGGTAATGGTTTTAAACTAAAAGAGGGTAGATTTAGACGGGATATAAGAAAGAAATTTTTTACGATGAGGGTGGTGAAACACTGGAACGGGTTGCCCAGAGAGGTAGTGGAGGCCCCCTCCCCTGGAAACATTCAAGGCCAGGTTGGACAGGGCTCTGAGCAACCTGATTGAGTTAAAGATGTCCCTGCTCACTGCAGGGGGGTTGGACTAGATGGCCGTTAAAGGTCCCTTCCAACCCAAAACATTCTATGATTCTGGGATCATAGAGCTTTTGCTGAACCTTCACCTTCCTTCTTCTCAACAAGCATTTTTGAACTATTCCCAGATGAGCCTCTGCTGTAAAAAAGCACAGAGATTCCTAATTTCCATATCGAATCAGTACAATGGTGGGAAACAAGCAATGAGGAAAGAACAGAGAAGGTAGCTTAAAAATCCTGTGGAGCCACTGCATACATTTAGCAGCTACACTGCCATGACAGTGGGAGCCTGCTTTTAGCTATTTTATTGGCTAAATTGGACAGCATTTTATTACCTCTACAATAAAGCAGATAATCCTAATGCATTTTCCTGACATTTGTAAACGGAACTTGCAAGCAGTCAGAAACTAAAAATAGAGCCAGCACAGTAAGCCACAAATCTACCACTGCCTCCACCTGCACAGCGACATCAATTTGTGAAGTCTGCCAACCCATAGGTCAGATTTTGCTGTAATTCCTTCACCCCTTCCAAAGCGATTCCAAATAAAGAAAAATGCCCCATTTCCCACACATTCTACTTTCAACAAAATAAGGGCTTTATTCATTTCTGTGTGCCTCAGAAAAATTGTATGACTAAGGCCTTGACCCTACAAAATTGTTCCAATTTAACTCTTCAGCCATCTAGTCTCTCACCAGGTTTAATCCATCTAAAATGTGTTCCTGGAGAGCCAGGACCCCGCAGTGACCCTGGGCCTCTCATTTCCTTCTCTGCACTGGGAGAGCACCCTGGTACCTTTTTGCACAAACGTAGGAGGCAAGAAATAGGACAGGAAGTTAACTCTGCCTCCAGTTCTCCCGACCAGAAATCTTTGGGATGAGTCTGGCTACAAATGAGTGTCATGGTTTAACCCCAGGCAGCAACTAAGCCCCACATAGCCACTAACTCACCTCCCCATGGTGGGATGGGGGAGGGAATAGGAAGAGTAAAAGTGAGAAAAGTCATGGGTTGAGATGAAGACAGTTTAATAGAGAAAGCAAAAGCTGCACACACAAGCAAAGCAAAACAAGGAATTAATTCCCTGCTTCTCATGGGCAGGCAGGTGTTCAGCCATCCCTAGGAAAGCAGGGCTCCATCACACATAACGGTGACTTGGGAAGACAAATATCTCCTCCTTCCCTCTTCCCCCAGCTTATGTGCTGAACATCACATCATATGGTCTGGAATAGCCCTGTGGCCAGTTGGGGTCAGCTGTCCTGGCTGTGCCGCCTCCCAGCTTCTTGTGCCCCTGGCAGAGCAGGGGAAGCTGAAAAGTCTTGGACTGGTGTAAGCCCTGCTCAGCAACAACTAAAGCACCAGTGAGTTATCAACATTCTTCTCATACTAAATCCAAACCACAGCACTATGCCAGCTACTAGATAGAAAATTAACTCTATCCGAGCTGAAACCAGGACAATGAGAGATGGTACATACAAACAGCTTCTCCATCTGTCATAAAAATCTCCTCTTACCTACTCAGAGAGACGAAGACTATTTTTAGGAAGCTCCTCTTGATAGGACAATCACTCTATCATGTTTGCCTTTAATTAAGTCTTTTTGAAAAACACACCTGGATGTCAGCACATAAAATACCATGGCTTCAAAGCACATGACCTGCACTTGGCAGAAATCAGGTAGGCAATTTGAACATCACTGAAAGTGGTGGGTTTATTTCCGTGTATACTGCCGTGCATAACTTGCAGGTTGTACAGCATCACAAGCAAGAGGAACTGGAAATTGTGCTGAATCAGAAGTGAAACTGAAATACGGTCTATTTTCATTGCCCAGTGTTGGTAAAACATCAAAAAATAATGTTTCAATAAATATTTCAAAATAAATCCATTCCAAGCAGAGAAAACCAAATGAGTAATATTTTCTAAAAATCCCTCACAACAACTGAAGGCAAAGAACAGACATGACTCTGATACTGTTAATACTTGTAAAAACCGCC